ATATTGTACTGGTATCGCTACAGGAACGCCCTTTCACAATTTTGTATCACTCCGCTTGTTCTAGCCGGGTCTATGTTTTTTTTTATTATTCACTGAGCTAATTGTAGAGTACATTAGTTAATTTAAGAAGAAACGCCTAGCTTCGCGGTCTCTCTCTCATTTGGATGCACGTCTTATAACCTCATTATTTCTCACTAATAACCTAACTGAAGCAGCACATGCTCTTGATACGAATTCTAAAAGTGACGTATGTTTAACTGTCAACTTGAGTTTTGAATCCGTGGCGGAAGGAAGTAGTTCAGCACAAAAGAGGGTTTTATTAGGCACTCCGTTGTTTCTTGTTTAATTACACACGTTCCGTCGAACTGTTGTATAAACGCAATATCACTCTCGTACTCAGCGGCTGTGATTGCCTCTATCACAGCCATGCTGATATAGAGCCGGTATCGCTCTCGTACTCAAGTGATATTATATAAACTTAACATTTTTCTTAAATATAAACATGCATGTGTTTGTATTTATATATACATAATAAATATACACAGTACACACACATATTGTCACATTTATGGTCTGTTTTTGTTTTGTTTTCCCTCTGTTCCTGCCTCCTGTTTCTGTTTCCTGTCCTCGTTATAGTTCGTTATGTTCATTTGGTTTTCCCGTGTGTTTGATTGTAGATTGTTCCCAGGTGTGTCTTGTCAATTACCCCATGTACTTAAGTTCCTGTCTGTGTTATCTGAGTTTGTCTGGTATTGAACGTCGATGTTGTGTTTCCTGTGTGTCCCTGCCTGTCTTGTTTTACCCCGTCTTGGATGATTAAAGACATTTACTTTGAGTTTATCCCACGTCTCCTCGTTCTTCGTTTCGTCACAGAAGGCAACCGTGACACATATATTATGTGAACAAAAACTTTTATTTTAGATGTGATTAATCGTTTGACAGCACTAATATATATACAGGTGCATCTCAATAAATTAGAATGTCGTGGAAAAGTTATTTCAGTAATTCAACTCAAATTGTGAAAATCGTGACTTAAATAAATTCAGTGCACACAGACTGAAGTAGTTTAAGTCTTTGGTTCTTTTAATTGTGATGATTTTGGCTCACATTTAACAAAAACCCACCAATTCACTATCTCAACAAATTAGAATACTTCATAAGACCAATAAAAAAAAATTTTTAGGGAATTGTTGGCCTTCTGGAAAGTATGTTCATTGTAAAGTGTCTACTTTTAAGGTTTCAAATACGTTTTTGGAGAATAAAATGTCAAAATTTGGTTGAAATAATGTTATATTGTCATTCAGTGTAACCCAATATTTATGTAAAAATTCAAACAACATGCTTATTCTGACGTGTACATATTAAAATATATAAAAGAATAAGGGAGCATATTAAATTTAAATTAGTAAAAATTCTTACTGACAAATGAGCAAAACCTAGGATTAGTGGCCAATTTTTAAAATGTAAAATTAGTATTTGGGGTGAAAGTAATAAGTCATAATAATGTCATAAATTGATTTTTGTTGTAAATATGCCTGACAAGATTGTTACACTGAATGACATTTTAGTGGGTCTCTTCTGTAAATCAGGGAAAATGTATGATATTTATTTTTTGCTCAGAAAACAAAAACAAAATTGCAATTAAATTAAATATAATTGTTTTTATATTTGGGGGGGGGGACATCAACAGTTTAAAGCAGTAGTACACTTATTGTTTTTATGCTTAAACCCTTTTTCGTCTTTGACCCATATATATACAGTATATATATATATATATATATATTTAACATTTAATATTTAACATTGCACTTCACTGTTTTTTGTTCATGAGTTCATGTGCACTCATAATCTTTTCACCTCCAACAAACATCTCGGCTGTGTCTGAAATTGCATAATTTCTGAGTAGGATCCTCTTTTAAATAAATACCTCACGACTGCTAAAAAAGTATGTTCTGTATGTCATGGGTGTCAGTTGCATCGTTTCCATCAGATGTACACTTCAGAATCTCGCTGGAAGTAGTAATCATCCTGGTACTTTTTGCCTACTGCTTTATAAATTCAGACTACACTCTCAGAAAAAAAAGGTACATAAGCTGTCACTGGGACAGTATCCAGTTACACTTTATTTTAAGGTGTCCTTGATACAGTGTAATTGCACATTTAAGTACTGAGTAATATTAATTATATAGGATTAATTATATTAATAGGATTAGGATTTGGCTTAGGGTTAGTTGCATGTAATTATGCATAATTTATTGTTATTATAATAGTAAGTGCATGTAACTTGTAACAAAGACACCTCAAAATAAAATGTTACCCAGTACCCTTTCAAAAGGTACACCGTTGTATACTCCCTGAAGGGTGCATTTTAGTACCTTAAAGGTACATATTTGTACTTACAGTGTACATATTAGTACCTAAATTGTACATATTAGTACTTTTTGTAAAGGCACTGCCACAGTGGCAGCTTTTGATAGTTATTTTCTGAGAGCATACTCTTTTAAAATATTTTTCAGCTACCGTATATTAGGGAAGTATGCAATTGTAGAGGCAGTCAGTCCTCTTCTCCTCTCTGATGACACACTGGTGTGAGGGCTGGACTATAATTCCTCCCCAGCAATCTGCCACTCACAGCAGCAATTAGTAAATGACAACACACCAATGATCCAATCAATTCCCAATGGACAAACCCACAGCCATTTCATTCTTACATGCATAGCATTAGAGAAAAGATAATTGCAGCTTCTGTTTCATGTGGACTTTAAAGGGATAGTTCACCAAAAATAAAAAATTGCTTAATTTACTAATATTTTGCCATTAACTTATGTGCCATGCACGTCATTTCAGACTTGTTCGAGTTTCTTTTCTCTGTGGAACATAACAGATGATATATTTTTTAGTCCATTTGATGGAGGTCAGTGTTAACCAAAATAATCTGCTTACCAACATTCTTCAAATTATCTTCTTTTGTGTTCTGCAAAAGAAAGACATGAGGGAGAGTAAATTGTTTTCTTTTTTAACTATCCCTTTGATTTTGTCTTTTTTTTCCCAGCAGGAAAAGCTATTATTGGTGTTTAACAATAATCCCTATTTCTTCCATTTTCATTTCAGAAAAAGACTACACTCCCTCTATGTTAGGTCTGTGTGGTTCTCTGTCCTCTTTACCCAGCTGTAAGTCCCTGCCAAGCCTGAGGTCAACAGAGTGCCTGGTAAACATCAGCGCAGAGCCCAGTCCTGCTCTAACCCCCAGCTAGGGACCACCAAGTGAGACCAAGCAGAGAAAAACTGCACAGTCAGCTAAGACATCCAAAGATACTATGGCTCGGCTACAGCCTGTGTAATACCTGTTACACTAATTCTCATGAAAGTATCATTGATAAGATATAGCTAGACCTCTGTAGTTATGACAAGAGGTATTTTCTCACAGATTTACCGTCAGAGCTTTTCAGATGCAGATATCTCTGAATGTCTTTGCTGTTCAAACCTTTCTCCTGACTTGTTGTGATATCCAGTGAAGGTATGCACTGACAGACTTCACAAAACTGACAAGTTTTCACTACAACTTCATGTGTCAAAGCCCAACACAGCTTTCCCACATTCTGTTGCCCTTTAAAATCTCTTATGGGAACATGCATACTTACAGAACACATATAAACAAAACCGGTCAGACACATACAGCCAGAAATTAACCATGAAAATGTGTGAAAGAAAGCATATTATAGTTACAATAATTAGTATTTTGACATTATCATCACTTGTTTTTTTAATTCTCACATTTCAATCATCTAAACATCCCTCCTCTGCCAAACATCATGCAAGAACTAAAAAGATGTGTATGTCTTTAAGTCTGCTGTACAATTACAGTGGTAATAAAATGAAAGACATTTCTGGAATAGCTGCCTTATTCCTCTTTTCTTGCCTCTTGAAGTAAGTTTGAAGATGGGATCACTCTGCACATGATGGCAGTATAATATTGCTGAATGACTGACAGTGAGTGAAGTAAACAAATGGGCCAGTGTATATCTGCATACTGTGGTATTGTACTGTATGTTTGACATCTATTTGGCATCTGTTGTTGCATCATTACAATATGTCTGCAATGTGTGGGCCACTGTCATTTTCAGTATATTAGCAGCAGATTTGAAACCTTGCATTGATTTTAATCGCATTGGCATCATATAAAACTGATAAGCTAGATTTCCTCCCTCCATTGTCAGTGTAATTGAAAGTCTACTTGTTTGAGAATGTGTGTGTTGTGTTAGACATCTCTTCACCCTCAGTTAGCGTTAAATTAGTTTAATTCATTGCACATTTTTTCTTTGTTTGTAAAGCCATTGGAAACTATGCTGTTTGTCACTTAAAATCGCAATAAAACTGCCTTTTTTGTCCTAATGTTTTCTATTGAGTCATATTTGTTCACTGTGTCTTTATTGTTTGTCTCTTCTGTTCCACTGAACAGCCCCATCTTTCCTTTTTTTTCCAGGACTGTAACTTGACAAATGCTTGATTCAAATGCTTAAAAAGCTGTGTAGTCCCCTCAAACAAACATGAAAAAAACAGCTTCAGTGCCATTTTTAGAGTCTTTTAAAATATTATTTTATTTTAAATGATAAGGCAAATCAATTTGGTTAACTGTAGCTTATGCACTATGCCTGCCAAGCCAGTAGATGGCAATGTCACTTTGTGCAGAAACATGTAATGGGCATAGAAGGGCAGTGACTGTACCATCGAGCGTATTTTGCAGTATTAAACACGTATTTATACCGATTTCATCAGTCTCCGAAAATTCTTCAAAAAGAACACAAAGAATGGCCTTCTCAGCTGCCATAGTTGCAACTCTTGCGTCATCAGAACAGGGCGTTCAACGCACCACCGTTTCCGTTTAAAAAACATTTTTCACTGTTTTTGTCGGGGCTGAACGTAGCCCAGGTCTCATTGCTTCCGCTTGTTGGAGAACGTGTTAACAGCCATATTAAATAATAGCGATATCTATGGACTTTTAAGATAATCAGTTAGACTAGCTAGCTGTTTTTATTGTTGACGTTTTATTACATTTTTATATCTAAATGTGAAAATTTTTTAGATATCAGTCTGCATATGTGATGGACATTGGTTATGATCATCATTGGTATCTACTTTGAAGGCATCTTGAGTAAAACTGCTTCATATCTAACTAAGCATATGCAAAATGCTTGAACCGGAAGCGACGAGACCCGGTTAACAGAATACGGAAGTCTGTTGCGCATAACCCCTATTTGGGTTTTTGTTGTTATCACATAGACGATAATGGGAACATTTTCAAAAACGTACACTTTAAAACTCGTTTTTGCACTTGCACTTTAAAACAAAGTTTTCGTTTTCAGGCCCCCAAAGGGCCGTTGTCGTGTAAATGAATGGCCAAAACAATTTTTGTTGTTGTTGTTTTTAGTTCAAAATGGTGTTGTGTAAACGCCTTCTTAATATAAACCATTATCAGTGTTCTTCATCTAACCATCTGATTTCAAAAGTCAATAGAAGTCAAAGGAGCCCATGATATAAAATCCTCACATAACTGCATAACGTTCTGTAGTCTCATGCGGACTGAACGCATGATTCTAATATATTTCAAACTTGTGCCTCCTCCAGATGTCACTGTGGAACTCATTACAAATTGACTTGAATTTAAGGTCACCACGATCCAGGGGTCAAGCAAAGAACAAGTGTCAATTATGGGTCAAAGGTCAGCATCATTTGTTCACTTTGGACTGCTGCACTAAAAAGAACCTAACAGAGGTGTCTAAATGCAAAATGGGGACCAGTAGCTCAAAATATGCTTGCTAAAAAGATGGGACCATTGATTGATTTCACAGCATGCAGCAGAGTGAAGCTAAAGAATGACTTTTGATCTTCAAACTGACTAAATTCTAAAAGATAGGTTTCCAAAAGACAAAGGGCAAAAGAAAAGCCCTTCCTGTCGGATGTGGATGGGGTCAAAGAAAGGATATTTTCCTCAAGTGAAACTCAAAATTAAATACACCAAAAAAAAAAAAGAAAAAAAAAAGTTGTCAATATTTCTATTCCTAGAACTCCCTGCAACCCCAAACCATGAAAAAAGCAAACACAGTATATGTAAACCATAGATAACAAAATATCAATACAAGAGTACTTTTCAAACAAACAAATGACAAATATAAGTTTCAGAACACTGACCACAAAACAGCTCTTCTGCTGAAATGACTTAAGATAACAATTTTCAAATTCAGAAGGTGTTATCTCACACAAACTCCACCCTACGCAAACTACCACTGATGGAAGTTTATCTCCAACAATACATGCTGAAGACACCCACAGGGACGTGACTGTTACACCCGTGGAAGAAATACCACATCTATACTGTACATAGATATGAAATACAGTACCACATCTATATGAAATATGTAAAAGATGTTGCTTAACTTATGGTTAAGCATTAATTAACCCAGGATTCTTTATATTATTGTATGCAGGGGCACCGTAACAGGGGACTTAGGAGGTGTGAGGTTAGGATGACTCCAAGGGCCTGACAAGGTAGAGGGGGGCCCGGAACGCCAACCATAGCTTAACTATAGCATCTACTGTATTTGCACGTGTACACATTCAAGTTTCAATAGCATTATTTCAACTTTTCCTAATTTGGGAGTACACTTACAGTACATAGATTCATTAAAAACTCAAAGAAAGCGACTAAGCCACACAACTCCGGTTTTGATTCCATGAAGCATGTCAAGTATTAGCATACTTAAAAGTATTAGAATAGTTCGAATTTTGTGTGCGCGTGCAAATGAGCAGTTCACTTCATTCTTTGAGACGAAGCCAAAATTGTTTACGTTATTTCTGGATTGATGTCTCATTACCCAATTACCTTAACGCAGCTATTTCTTTTCAGCCAATCAAAAGGTGAATTCTAAAGGTATCCGCCCACTTCCTAAAATGAATGAAAGATCAGCCGCAGAGAGTTTTGAGAGGTAGAGATCAGTGTTACTCGGTGTTGAGCAGCAAGCAGCTCTCTTAAGTTTTATAATCGTTTACTTGAATGCGATGAAATAAGTATATCTTCTAGTTATCGGTCTAGCTAAGAAACTAGATGAGAAACATTTAGAATGGATAGATAGCTGGAAATGGACAGTTGGAAAAGGACAAAAACCGCTCACGACGCCAGAGTCAGTGTTTGTGGAGAGATGAAGATGTCCAGGAGCGGATCAGGTCTCCAGCCTCTCAAAGCTACTGTTCCCTTCACGCTGCACAAACCAGCTTCCGTCACAAATGTCACTCCAGGTGAAGTATATCACACACATCAGTAACTATCATGATCTGAGCCACTGGATGTCTTTCTTGAAGATCAACAGGAAATGTTATGAGTAAATGTTTGCAACTGCATCAGTACTTTAATTTGTTTCTTCATGTGCTATAACGGTCTAAACACATCCATTATTTCATTAGCCTTAAAATGTATGTGCATTTAATCTATATTCAGTTTTCTTCCAGACTTTATTGGTGCATAGCAAGCAACACCTAGATAGCTGGAAATGGACAGTTGGAAAAGGACAAAAACCGCTCACGACGCCAGAGTCAGTGTTTGTGGAGAGATGAAGATGTCCAGGAGCGGATCAGGTCTCCAGCCTCTCAAAGCTACTGTTCCCTTCACGCTGCACAAACCAGCTTCCGTCACAAATGTCACTCCAGGTGAAGTATATCACACACATCAGTAACTATCATGATCTGAGCCACTGGATGTCTTTCTTGAAGATCAACAGGAAATGTTATGAGTAAATGTTTGCAACTGCATCAGTACTTTAATTTGTTTCTTCATGTGCTATAACGGTCTAAACACATCCATTATTTCATTAACCTTAAAATGTATGTGCATTTAATCTATATTCAGTTTTCTTCCAGACTTTATTGGTGCATAGCAAGCAACACATCTTCATCATCACCTTCATCATCATTCATATTTTAATTATAAACAGTGGCTGTATATTTACTTTAAACGATTAAGTTAAGCTTGTAAGATGAATGGTTTCATTGGCATACTGTATCATACTGTATGTCCCATATAACGTTACCGTGGGGACTACATTAAAAATCTGGGATTCTAAAGCAGGAAATAAAGATGCTGTTTTAATACAAAATGATTTATGGAACCAAGAATGTTTGACATATGAAGAAGAAATATTTCAGTAATCAAATAATACAATTTGTGACACTGATCATGTGAACTCCTTTGTACTAAAGGTCAGATGTTCTTGCATCCATTGAAGCACAAGGTGTTCTTGGAAACATCCCAAGTCATGCTAGAAGACATGATCGTCTGGTTTAGTTCATATCAGATCATCTAAACACCATCAAATCATGTTAATCTTTACAGCTCAAATTGGTATTCGTATGATCTAATTCATGTAAATAATAATTAGAAGCATTTTATGGTCTGAACCAGTGAATAGTAAGGTTGAAAACAAAAGATGATATTGAAATGTATTTCATAAATTTGCCACTACAAACAATTATTTAAAAAGTTGTCTCTTAGTAGTTTGTTTCCTCATTAAAGTATAATTGAGCACTGGCTGTCTGTCAAAGCAGTTTACTGTAATCACTTTGATTTCAGGGGTTTTCAAGCTTTCTTGTTTCTTCAGGAGAAAGGACCAAAGCAGAGTGGCGTTTGCAGACTCCCATCCAGCGCACAGTATCTCTGGATGCGATTGTGTGGCCGTATTTGCAAGGCCAATGGCCCAAAGAGGACGACAGACACGGCAGGGAAAACAAATCCACACAGGTGAAAGGATGCAAGATCCATAATAAATTCTAGCCCATATTACCAGATGAGTTCAGCTGACTCACCCAGGACAGATGTTAATATCAGTGTAAACAGGGCCATGCAGTACCATGGTATGTATATTACCAAAAGTCTGTGGTACTCTCAAGACCATTGTACCATGGTTTGCTCATCACATCCTATGATTTACTGCAATCCTAATGAACTTTAACCCTCAGCTCAGATGTGAAGGGAAGTGGGTGCATCAGCTTTTCTCACTTTTTAAATATCATCTGTTTTCTGTTCCTCATTACCTAAGCCAAAATTTCGCTTTCTTTCATATAATCATATATGAATCATATAATCTTTATTTCATATAATGACTTAATACTGTTTTAGCCATTTACTTGTGAAATTGCCTTATATTTTAGTCTCCCTAAAAATTGTTTTATTTGCACTTGTAGCTGGTTAATAGCAAAATGTCTAGTTGTACTAGTTCACTAAAAAATTCTGTCAACCTTGTGAGTAAAACAAGGACCAAAGGGGATGAATTTTCATTTCATGCCGACTTTAAAAACAAGTATCAGTGTAAACAGGGCCATGCAGTACCATGGTATGTATATTA